ATCATATCAACCTATTTTCATTTCAATGCAAAATAAGTATATAACGCATAGGTGGCTGTGAAAAATAAAAGCCATGACAATTGTTTTTATTAATCACAGCTGTCAGAATACGTTTAAAATGGTTTTTTGTAGTTAAGATTTTCAAAATGGGTAGAGGAAAGGTTATTAGTGAGAAAATTCGGTTACCCATAATTAATTTTTTTAATTCTGGGAAATCAAACTCAGAAATTGCAACTTTGTTAGACTTATCGCGGTACAGTGTGAGAAATATTGTTAGAAGATATAACGTAACTGGTTTAGTTAATATTAAGCCACGATATGTGAAAAAAAGTAATATCACAAATGCCGATCGAAGAGCTTTAAGAAGAATAATCGTGAAAAACAGGCGTGCCAATTATTTACAATTAAGTGCTCTGTGGAGTGACGCTGTTGGAAGAAGAATTTCGAGGTCCACAACTCATAGAGAGGCCCACAAACTGGGATTTAGCACTTGCAAGGTAAGTTTTCTTATAAAAAAAGTGAAGTAAAAACCCTAAAATTGCACAACTTGTTTATAGGCCAAAGAAAAGCCTCTATTAACTCCACTGCAAAAGAAAAATCGGCTTAGATGGGCTAAAGTTTGTGTTGGTGACAGTCGCAGTAGAGTTATTCGCAAAAAAATGAAGCATTCCATGTTGACTGTCTGAAGAGAAAAGTGAAATTTCCAGCATCCATTATGGTCTGGGGCAGTATATCATCAAAAGGAGCAGGAAAACTTTATTTTATTGATGGAAATGTGGATACAAACAAATATTTGGCAATTTTGGAAGAATCGCTTTTACTAGTGATCGAAGAATGTTTGACATCCGGCCAAGATTTTGTGTTTCAGCAAGATGGTGCAGCGTGCCATACCTCAAAAAAGGGTATAAAATGAATGGAAGAAAATAATGTACCACTTTTAAAATGGGTTTCTAGCAGTCCAGATCTGTCACCTATTGAAACTTTGTGGCACGAGATGAAAAAGGTTCTACGACAACATCCTGCTCGTACAATCACCGAACTGAGACAAAAGCTTCAAGAAATATGAGATTGTTTTACACCAAATGTTTGCCAAAACTTGGTTAACACTATGCTCCAAAGAATTTTAGCCGTAATAAAAAATAAAGGTGATGTTACACAATGGTAATCTTTCAATTGTTGCTTTGTTAACTTCGCGCATTTATTCGCACATTGTTTATTTGGTCCGATGATCTATTAGTTATAGGTCTAAGTGATTTCATATATGTATTTTTTATGACTAGAGTGTATCTAAAATGAAAATAAATTGTTTTAGAAGTAAATAGTTTTGTCATGTTTAGTTTATAAAGGCATATTTTGGTACAAATCTTGAAGTGGGCCAACTGAAGTGGGAAGGGGCTCGTAGGTCACGTCGTGATAATTTTCAGTAGCTTATTGTCAGTTAGAGCTAAAATACATATTTATTAAAGTTCTTGTTATTATACTTTTTTAATACATACAGCATCTATTTCATTTACGTTAGCAAAGAATCATATTTCCAGTCCATGGGCGATTATTTATCTCAGAAAATTTGTTAATTGTTTAATTTTTCAGGTAATCGTTGGTGTGCAGACAGCGGAGTTTATGTAAAAAAGTACAGATCGACTTTTGAATTTTGCCTACCCCCTAAAAAATTACCCTCAATGTCCAAGCCTAAAATTGACGTAGATCGTACATCGTACATCTATCTTTAACAGATGTTTTTCTCATTTTATCTATCACTTGTACAATCATGTCCCCACAAACCTTAAATCTATGCCTGTGTCAGCTTTTCAGAAAATTTCTTTTAGATGAATTGTAGTGTTTGCTTTATATTGTTCCCTTCCTTTGTATATTTTAAATGTTTTTTGTTAAATCTGCCTAAAATGATTTGGCCTTTTTCGTTAAATTATATTTTTTATATAATTTCGTTATATACATATATTTTTTTGATGCCTGTAATTATTATTTATTAATTATTAATATTAACTTGGTTAAGAACTCCTCTGTTGTCATTTTGTTTGTTTGACTAGTACTTAGATCAGCTTGTCTGTTTACTAGTCACTTTTGCAGGGAATTCATGTTGATTCTTCATTTTTAATTTTTTCTCTTTGTATTTTTTTGCTCTGCAAATGAACGCTATTATTATTATTATTATTATAACACAAATATTAGAAGATGAGATGAAGAAAACAACTCGAAACGTCAAAGCAATTCTTATTGAAATGAAATCTAAAAGAAAAGCAACTAACTTAAACATTATCTTTTGACATATTACCAGCGAATGTTGATGTATTATGAAACATAAAAAACAAATGCAAAATTATTAATAATTCATTCCGTTCATGAAAGGTAAATCATCATCAGCAGCACTTTGACGCCCACTGTTGTGCAAACAGTTATCCTTAAGGGTCCTTGTGCGTTTTCATTATCGCTGTTTAATTAGGAAATTTTGAAAAATTTTCATCAGTTTTTCTTCAAATAAAAGTTGTGCATAAGTTAACGAGTAATCTTCTAAGTGTTATACCATTTTGGAATCGTTATTAAATGCGCCAACTTTTAAGGTTACTTGCCAAACTCTCGTAGTACATTTTTTCCAGTAAAGCCAGTTAAAGTTGAGCAAAGTTTTACTTTGGAATACTTGGTTGGGAAATAAGTGTCAATTTTTCCTGAACGAGAAAAGTTGGCAGTAAGGTTGAGACACCAGTTTGAAGATGCATTATTCATCATTACATTGTAAAAATAAAATCCAAAAAAAGTTAATATTTGTAGTAACAGGAGTTGACAGACTGCCGTAGGGTGTGAAATTTCTATATTTTTTTCAAAGACCTATAATTTTCAAAACACATACATAAAATTTTTTTAAATAGTTTTCTGATAGCTGTTATGACTTTGCCTATCACCCGGTTTCGGCTTGACGTCGACTTCTTTGACACCCTGTATATAACAACAAGTAGGAAAATAATGGGCAAAATCCGCAAAAAGGAGGAAAGTGGATTCGAGCAGAAAATAGGATAGGTAACCCGAGCGATACGTATTTCTGCTGGTTGGCTTCATCAGGCCCGAAATGAATGCACATATGAAACTTCAAAAGTAGATACACATGCCCACACATCCGGATACGGGTGTATCTACTTTTGTAGTTTCATATGTGCATTCATTTCGGGCGTGATGAAGCCAACCAGCAGAAATACGTATCGCTCGGGTTACCTATCCTATTTTCTGCTCGAATCCACTTTCCTCCTTTTTGCGGATTTTGCCCATTATTTTCCTACTTGTTGTTATATACTTTTCTCCGCATGATCATATTCTCTCTCTATACAGGGTGACTTTGAAGTTGAGTCATTAATTTTCAGATAATGATTGTAGAAGGAAGATAAACCAAAATATGTGTGTAAAAATAAAAAAAAAATAAAAAAAAATTTTTACCTTGTTTTATAAAGTATCCTCCCGACAAGTATTTCAGTGCGGACCTGTATTTGATCGTGAGGTCCCCTGTGAGGTCTTAAGTCACCTGATTCACAAGCCCGTTGTACTACATTAACAAAGGCACGAAGGGTTGGTTGCACTCGATTGGGAAATCGATCCGCATAAACATGTGCCATTTTTTATTTCGTTTGAGCCACGCAACACATACCACTATTCACTGACACTAACTGTATACAAATGAATGAGATACCTGTAAAAACATCGTTCCAAATTCTTTCGCTTTTTTGTTTCCGATGCGATGAACCGATACGGCGGATTATATCCATTGTCGCCAAACACGACCATATAATATTGTTATTGAGACAGGGCGGTACTCAAACTTCCAAAGGGCTATAACTTTGTTACTTTAATTTTACCAGGAAAATGGTAAAGGAAAAAAACATTTCTTTTGATCAGATCTACTCACTGTTAAAATAAATGACTCAACTTCGAAGTCACCCTGTATATATATATATATGAGCAGTATTTATTGCAAAAGCTAACGACCAGTTGGGCACAAAATACAATTATTAATTGTTAATTGGGAAATTGGCCAATTTTTTTAGGCTTACGTTGACTCTTTTGACGATAAAATCAAGCTTTCGGCATTCTCTATGGAGCCTTCATCAGGATTCTCAAAACACAATTGTGATGCTAGCAAAGAAAACAGGACAGATTTAAATTGTCAAACAACTTACTCGTCGTTGAGGTTGCAGCCACAAGGTTTTTCAAAACGAACGTAGAGAAGATAGAATTCTTAATAAGTATAAAAACAAAAAGACGGAGACATTGGGCTTGTTGATAACGACAGATACCTTCGTTACATGTTAAGAATATCAATACACCCGAACATATTAAAAATTATTACATGTGAGAAGACATTTTAGTGAAACAATCGGAATGCAGTCTCTAACCTCCCACTGCCGCTACTCGTGGAGGGGGGGACGGCACGGAAAGATAATGCGTCGACAGATGACAAGTGATTGACGCGACGGACCGTGGAACTGTAAACCTCATTGTCCAATTTGGGTATGAAGTATACGAGGAACGCTTGGTAAACCTCCACCCAAATTACTAAAATGCTGAATTTATTTTGTTTTGGAAAAATGTGTAGTTCATATGAGTGTACGAATGTGAGATAGTGATCTCACAATCTTTAATATAAACTCACATAATCCATCTTTTCAAGGTTGGGTTCTCTTCAGGTGATTTTTAAGTTAAGCCATAACCGTTCAAACGCGGTTATCAAAATGACTGCTTCAGCCCTAGGTTGACGTCAATTTGCATTGATCCTTGGGAAGCCATAATATGATCATACCGCCAAAATAGCTTACTGGCGCCTAAAATGTAGGATCTCCTCAGACAAAATGTCCCTATTTCTGGGCCTAATGCGATGCATTGCCGGCCGGCGTCGCGGCGCCCGCCGAACGCATTTTTTCGTTCCAAATTCAGCTCTTGCATTAGCACTCTGATGCACTGATGCTTTTCACTTCAGACACTTTCGTTCTCTGTTCCAGCCGAACTGAGCTCCAGGTGCAGCAAGAGGAGGTTTGTGCCGTACAGGGACTCCGTGCTGACATGGCTGCTCAAGGATACCCTCGCCGGAAACTCGAATACCGTCATGGTTGCCAGTAAGTACGAAAAGTGTTTTTTTTTTATTATGTTTCTTAGGGTTTCACAGGAAAATGATTTATTTTTAGATACACATGCCGTGATGCGTATGTGGGTTATTTTGTAGCAGTGGCGCAACAAGTTAGTGTAAACATTTCAGGAGCAGATTTTCTAGACGCATTTTGTCCATTTTGGCAAGTTCGTGTTTGGAAAGAAATTAACCAATAAATTGATATACCCAAAAATACATAAAAGATCGTGCAAATACAGGGTGTAAAATTAGTAGTGGATCAACGGAACTCAGTTGTTATAGGGCCTCAAAACCTATCAAATGAACTATATGTGTGATCCGAAATTTTATAGTTCAGGAGTTATTTGCAATTTTATGAAATTTCGAAAAAACGGGATAATAATAATAATATGAGTTTATTCACGTATAAAGTATTACAGTTTATTGAAAATAAATATGCATATATACGCAAATAAACTGAAATAATCCCACAGAAAAATTTAATTCTTGTGCGCGGGAAAACATTTTTCATAACAATTTTTGCTTGAAACACTTAAATACAATATTAATACATAAATTTAAACACAACATAACCATAAAGGTAAGTGTAATAGTATTATACTCAAATACAAATTTATTTTCATTTTAGTGAGTTTTTCTATTTCATGTCGATTATTATTTAACAAGAATTTTTTTATTTCAATTTCGAATCTATTTTTATTTGAAATGGATTTTATATGGCTTGGTAAAAAGTTATAAAATCTAGTGGAGAGGTAAATGAAGCATCTTTGACCTACATTTTTTGTTGTAAATATCCTCGACTTTACTTCTTGTTTCATATTTGTGGTCCAAAGGTTTGTTTTATTTTTAAATAAATTGATCAAAATATTGTCAAAAAGAAGGATATATACACCTAGAAGTGGCCGTTTAAAAATAATTTTCAAAAATTGTTTTTGGATTGTTTCTAGCTTCTCAATCCCAAGCTAGTGTGGCATAATTTAGGCGACATTCAATAAGTGCATGATATAACATCTTCATTGTTTCATGGTCTAGATATTTAGTGAGGTAATTGAATTTAAATAATAATCGTCTTAAATTAGTTACTATATGATCAACATAGAAATTGCACTTTAAATGCTGATCCAAGTGAACACCTAAATATTTTGTTTTATCAGCTGAATGTATTAATGTACTTGTATTGTCACATTTAATTTGTAAAGAGGCAAATGATCATTTATTTTTAAGGTTTGTGAATGGCATATACTTGGTTTTCTGAAAACTGATTGTTAGATGTTTGTGTCTAAACCAGTCTGAAATTAAAACAATGTCATTTTCAACAATCTCTTTAAGATTATCCCAGGAATTGTTATAAGAATAAAGTATCGCTGTGTCATCTGCAAAACATATTATTGCCCCTTGCGACTTCAAGCTAAGTAGGCTACTGATATACCCAGTAAAAGATAACGGGCCTTGAACTGTTTTTTCTGAACCTATGGAATCATTTATTTGAAATGTAAAACAGGTAACTTCTCATAAGGTTTTGAGCGTTTCCTCTAATTTCTGCATCGTATGAACTTTCAATCGCAATTACAACTAAACCATTAGTTTTAGGGCGGTAATTTTTTTCTGAGATGAGCTAAGTGGTTAGTTTTAGAAATGGTTATGTCACTTTTTAACAGAGCTTATTAGAAATCAACGCAAAAAATCTTCAATTAATTTTTTTGTGAAAAATCTCTTCCGTCCTACAACGTTGGAGGGCGGTAGAAAAATTGAGGTTGTAATTCATTATTCATTTTATTGTAAAACCAGCTCAATCTATGTAGAATGAACCCTGAAAATTTCAGCTTGGTGCGATGAGTATATCATGTGATGGGATAAACATATAATCCTTACCATGTACAAGTACAGAACCTATTGTGTTTAGCCGCTCTTTTTGGCGATTTACCGACAAATGCGGAAGATATTTTAGTTTAACTAACTTTTAAAGAACATCTTCGAAATAGCCTCCATTATTTTCTATACACAAGCGACATCTGCTAATAAACTTGTCCTTTAGTCTTTGAAATGTATTTGCGCTTTACATAATTTTTATTTTTTCTTCATCAATTTTCTGGCGCAGTTGGTTGACATTTGTATATTCAGATGTATAGATAATCCCCTTATAAAACTCCCATATCAAAAAATCTAAAACGGGTGACCTTGGAGGCCATCGTATGTGTCCACCTCTACCTATCCAACGCCCAGGATAATACTAGTGTATTTCTGCATAATTTTGCGGAGAATATGACATGATTCTACTCAGATGCCAAACGTTAGATACAAATCCCGCGCTGGACCATTGCCTGACTTAGTAATTTAGAACGTCTTTTATGGCATAATATTGTTGAGTGGTATATTTAGTTTGTGATGCCATCTTCGGTTGAAAATGTTAAAAAACGGACAAATTGCATATAGAAAGTCTGCTCCTCATTTGTGTTCAGGGTATTTCATGAAACATATGCTATTGAGACTAAGGGAGGCCAGAATGTGAGCTTGTTACCTCGCTAGAGTCCACGTGACGCGTCCTCTTTTCCTCTATTTCCCCCTATAGCTCCACCATACCCACGGATGTGTAGGTATCAGACCTCCGTCGTGGTTCAAGTACAAAAAAGTATGTTGATGAAAATATGTAACATTGGTGATCTCAGGACTTTTGAATACGGAGAATGAGACATTTTTAATACTGAGGCTATACAGTTCAAACTACATTCCTATATGGAACCAATTTCGCCACAAATTTCATATACACGTACTTTAAGCAAAATACTAAGTTAATTTTGAACCCGCTTGGTTGGTGCTGGCAAGCAAATCTAAAATTGAAATATTATTCGAGTATTTTCTACTATCTGCTTCCTTATATCAAAAAATGAGAAGCTTATAGAATACATCGACGCGGGCGAGTGCCCTACTGGGGTATTTTGTGATCTCAGTAGGGCATTCGACTGCGTTGATCACAACAAATTCTTGGAGATTGTTGTTAAATATGGTTTTGTCGGTCAGTTTCTTAAATGGGCCAGATCGTTTTTAGTCCAAAGAAAACAATATGTTTCAGTAGAATATCTTGGTGCAGGGAACAATATGAAAAACTTTGTGTCAAGTACGTTAGACATCTCGATTGGAGTCCCTCAGGGCTCTATTCTTGGACCAATCTTTTTTCTCTTATACATTAATCGGTTTGATAATGCTCATCCAGATACCCATTTTACAACATATGCTGATGACGTTTCTGCGATAATATCAAGTAATTCAAATATAATTTTGGAAGATAAATGTAATAACTTAATTAGGAATATCAATACATGGTTTAACCAGTACTCACTTTACTTGAATCCTTCCAAAACAACGCTTATTCGTTTTTATCATGCTCAAAAAACTGTAGAAGGGTTTCAAGTTAGATTGGGTGACGATCAACTCGATTTTAGAGGAGAAGTGAAATTTCTTGGAGTTCATTTGGATTCGAACTTAAATTGGAAGGCCCACTGCGAATTTCTCACATCAAAAATGTACTCTCAAAGCTATGTGTTGAGGCAATTAAAAACCATCTTAACAGATGAACAATTGATACAAGTTTATTTTGCTAATGTGGATCATTAGCAGGCATCTCACCAACAGAAAGTTTAAAAAAATATTTTATAAGTTTCAACATTTTAACTGTCCCTTCATTGTATATATATATGAATTGTGCTTACATGTTTTTAAAAATAATGAAAAATTCAAGCGGAATCGTGATATGCATAATTATGATACAAGGACTTGTAATAATTTATATGTAAACTTTAGCAAACCAAAAGCGGCATTTCGATCACCTAATAAAATTGGTCCGCTTCTTTTTAATAATTTACCATGCCACATTACCTCGGTTAAAAATATTATCGACTTTAAGTTCCTGTTGAAGTAATTTTTGATAAACAAGAGCTTTTATCGTGTTGATGAATTTTTGAACATTGCAATTTGAGATTAGTTGTAGGTTTGAAGCGAACGAAAAATTGACAATTGCAATACAATTATTTATTGTCTGTATGGAAATAAAGGTTATTGATATTGATATTGATATTGATATTGATATTGATATTGATATTGATATTGATATTGATATTGATATTGATATTGATATTGATATTGATATTGATATTGATATTGATATTGATATTGATATTGATATTGATATTGATATTGATATTGATATTGATATTGATATTGATATTGATATTGATATTGATATTGATATTGATATTGATATTGATATTGATATTGATATTGATATTGATATTGATATTGATATTGATATTGATATTGATATTGATATTGATATTGATATTGATATTGATATTGATATTGATATTGATATTGATATTGATATTGATATTGATATTGATATTGATATTGATATTGATATTGATATTGATATTGATATTGATATTGATATTGATATTGATATTGATATTGATATTGATATTGATATTGATATTGATATTACAAGTGTATTGTCTTTCCTACATTCTGCCGGGTAGTGACGAGGGCCATTTTCACTTAGATGGTTATGTGAACAAGCAAAATTGCAGATATTGGGCACCACCGAACCCCAAAGAGAAACATCAACAAAAACTAAATTGTGCAAAGGTGCACCATGTCCTCTAGCGGTATTATTGGGCCGTATTTCTTTGTAGGAACAGATCTTCCAGAGAATCTATGGACACGGTGAAAGCACTTTATTTTCAAAAATTTATATATATCGAAGTTTGGAAACATTCACTGACCTCCTAGGTCACCCGACCTCACGCCATGCTAATTATTTTTTGTGGGGTTATCTGAAGTCGAAAGTGTATTCAAATAACCCACGAACACTGGAGGAGCTTAAAAAGAACACACTCCACTCTTTCTGAATTTGCGCGCGAGATTAGAAGAGCGTGTACGGGGGGATAGCAAGCATTTGGACGGAATGATAATTCTTCTTCTTCTTCCTACTTTATT